GCCGCGGGTGCCGCCACCAATGCCTTCCGGGCGCCCTAGCCGGGCGGGGGCCCCGGCTTCTCATCGCACGTGGGCTCTTTCTAAGGAAGAGGAAATCCAAGTTGCACTTTCACTGGATCCCCGTGTGTCTGCATCAGCTGTCAGAGGCTGCCTCATCCCAGCTTGGAATCGCTGGTGCCTGAACCGTCTGCTGCTCTAACCCCTTTCCTCACGGATGGAGGCTGTTCTGGTTTGCGCTGGTCCCCCTTCCCTCAGCGGACTGGGGCAGGAGCGGGATGGGAGGTGCTGCGGCCAAGCCCTGCGCCCGTCATCGCCCTCCCTTCCAGCACCAGGAGCCTCCTCCGGACGCGTGGCGGGGACTCAAGCGGCTGCTCGCCCTCCCCGTCTTGACCAGGGCTCTCCTCTTTCCCCGCCTGGTGATGCCACTTGTGCGCCCTGGGGGCGCAGAGGGGGGTTCCCCGCGTGCCCTGGGGGCGCGGAGGGGGGTTCCCCCTGCGCCCAGCCCCAGGGCAGGCAGGGGCCGGCTCTTCCCCACAGGTTTTTGCCCACCTTCCCTTTGACGCAGGGCCCGATTCTCTGCCAAGAAAACGGTCGCCGGCTCCCCCCAGGGGCTCGCCCCTGCGGGCTGAGGCTGGCTCTGGCCCCAGGGCCCTGTGCTCGGAGCAGCCCCCCTCCGCTCCCTTCCCCGTCCTCTCCCGCTCTCCTTTCCTGGGCTGAGCCCGCTCCAGGCGCAGGGAGGAGGAGAGTGGGGCCAGGGCAGGCGCCGAGCGGGGCTCCTGGTCCCCGCCGTGGCTCCCTCCTTGCCTCCGGCAAGCGGGTGAGCAGCTTCTCCCTGCTTTTTCTCTGCTGCCCTGGGGCCAGTGCCAGCTCTCGGGGGCTGAGCCCAGCGCCTGCCCTGCGTCCCCGCTAGCCCCTGCTGTCCCCCCCCCTCCCGCGGGCCAGTGTCCTCGGCCACCCCTGGGCCCGGCGTCCCCGGGACGGGGTCTCATGACTTCTGCTTTGCCCCATCTCCTCTCCCACGCTCCCGGGTTTGTCCCTGCTGCTCCCGGGCTGCCGAGAGGGTTCGTGCCTTCATCTGCGGGGGCCAGCGGCCGCGGCTCTCCCCGGTCCCGCGGGGCCGATGCCGGCGGGGCTCCGGGCACCGGGCCCGGGCCCCCCCGCGGTGCCCCGCCGCCCCCCA